ATCTTCGCCTTGTCGGCCTTTGAGGCAAATAAAGGGGCAAAGATTTGGCCTAGGAAATCAGCAAAATTCTGGTCGTCTGATACTCCCGAAGGAAGTGTCGAGAGACTAGAGAAGAGTGTGTACAGTGGAGCCTTCAGGGTTCCTTGAGCCTTGCTGGGCTTCTCTGTGAATGGCAACGGCCCCAGAGAGCCGAACATGAGCTCCAAGTACGCCTGTGCAGCCAAAAGGAACTCTGGTCCCTTCCCTTCAGGGACTCCTTGCTTCCACATTCTTTGCAAAATATTGAAAGCTTCTGTAACAAAGCTGGTGGTATCCTTTGATACCTTGATCTCCTTAGCCGCGGCAGAAGCAACAGTAACCACCAACGTCTCCCAAAGCTTATACGTTGTTTTGTTCTTCTGGGCCAGAGCAATGAAATCTCGCTCAAGGATGTTTTCTACCAGAGGGAACACCCTTCCAACATTGTGTCGGACCCATTTCGAATCTAGAGGTGGAAGTTCGCTCGGCTTCACAAACGTACTGTCCTGAATGCGCTCTTCTTTCCATCTCCGCGGCGTTGTGCTGTCAAACAGTCCAGCCAGGATCGCAGTGGCTTGCTGAAGATTATCTGCGGCAGTTTCGGATGCTGGGTCAAGAAGTTTTTCAACGATGGGCTTGACACTACGGTCCCAATACCGATCCAAGAGCGCCTGGTTGGTATTCGGTTTGAATGTGTAGTACAAGAGATTGCAGATACACCCAAGCACTGCTTGCCGCAACTCCTCGGTCATCTTGCCAGGACCTTTCCTCCCCAACTGACCTGTCAAGGGAGTGACCAGTGTCGAGATGTTCTTGCTGAATGACCGATCGTCGGTTTGTACGAAGTAGGTGAGGCGGTTCCAGCCACGGTTGGCGGCGATTTTGGTGGCAAAGTCGCTGCTATTGAAACAGCCTTGGATGAGAAAAAGCCAGGAAACTGAATGCTCCCACTTTTCTAGAGGAATACGAAGCAATAAAAGTACCACACTCCATATATCCGGAACCACGACAGAATCTTGTTTCTCTTTGGTCATAGCCTTGAGTCTTTCCTCGTAGTATTGGATGTACTTTTGGTCCCCAGAACTGGTATTGAAAATCTCAACAACCTTCCTGGAAAACGGCTTCTCATGACCCATAGTAAAGGCCAGTTCGAGACCAAAAGAAATAGCAGATGATCGAATTTCCTTCAGATTGCTGAGCATATCGGTAAATAGATCCATCAGCCAGTCTGAATGAATGATCATGTATTGCCTCGATTGCTTAACCAGCTTCCGGTAAATGAAGATGCGGGACAAGAGGATGCTCTTTCCCGTAAGGTGTTCTTCAATCCTGCGCAAGGACGAGACTATTCTCCCAACCCTTTCTGCGGTGATGACTTTTGGCGGAAAGTTTTGTACAGACAGAACTTGCATAAGACGGCGGGCAATGTCTTTTGGAGTAGCGGGGTCTTCGAAGGACCGAATGCAGTGATCAACAATGAAGATGCCAAAATCGTTGCTGATGGAGGAGGCGATGGCGGGAAAGTGAAGGAATGTGATGAGCATGTTGAGGGCATGGTTCACGAGTATCGAGTCCAGAGCAGATTCCGACGTCCTAGATACGATATCTCTCTGAATGAACTGCATGAAAAGGCCCAGCTTCTCTTGCAACGCCACGCGGTCTGGCAGATTATTCGATGTCTTGAGCGCCCGGGTCAACATCTCGTATGAATCTACCTTGGACTCGCGGTCACCGCCCGCGAGCTGCTGAATTGTTGATTCGAGCATGGCGGCGAGATTGACATTCGGGTCGGATGGATCGCAAGGGTTGCTACTGGTTGGGTCGAGAAGGTTTGGGACGTGGTTTGTAATCTTGAGGATTGATTTGACGGGCTTCGAGGCACTTCGAGGGAGGGAAACAGGTGTAGGGTGTTGCTTCGCCGTGCCCCCTTCCCCGTAGACGGGAGCCTCCTTATATTCGGCCTGAGCGGAGAATCCAACCTTTTTGCGGCGGCGCGAGGTCGAGTTCGTCGTGATAGAGGAGCTTGGAGACTGGTGTCCCGGCGGAGTGTGAACGGACTGGATGGGACCAAGGGTAGGGTTGAATGGGACGGAAGGCTCATTGTGTGTTTCTCTCGGTGGAGTTGGCGGTCGTGGGGGCAGAATACTGAGGGCGGTAGATAGGACGGCAGGAGATGACATGTTCGGCGGATCGAACTGTCGAGAGAGGCTCTACGCCGAGAGCGATGGAGGGCGACCCAGAGACCCAGCGACCCGTCACCAGAATACCGTAGACTGACGAAACGGCAGACGCATTTAGAAAGCAAAACTTGCGATGGTTGCGATGAAAAAGGCGGGTCGGCTACAAAAAGACAGTAACGAGCGTGGTGCCGGTTTCGGTCGTACAGCAAATGTGTGTATGTGGTTGAGCCGCTGGAGGATCTTGGGCAATTAAGACTTTTAACGCGGTCGCGACATATTTCCCTGGCCCTTGGCCCGTTCACACGCGTCAAGTCGCGACTGCACTTTGTCAAAGGCAACAGCTCCACTATTCAGCCCCCATCTTTTTCCGGGGTTGTACCCCATTCGTTTGCTGGAGATGCATCTCTCCAACAGGTACTTGTGCCTTGCAAGAATTGAACATCACAAAGAGATGAGACTTCAATTGTAGCTTTCCAGGTTATTAGATATCAGTTGTACTTGGTCTGGTATCTCTGTTGATAATTATCATCCTCGACTGTTCAAGCTTTTAGTATCTGTTCGGTGTTTCCCTAGCAACAGTTATATATACTTGACAGTTACCTTTGAGTTGACCCCACCCAACACCGCCCTCTTGGGATGCGCTTGGGGTAGGCAGCATGGGCCATCTTTCACTTTTAGACCGCCAGCGAGACCAAACGAAGGCATCTTGTTAACTTGAAGAATACTCGCTGCATATACCGCTTTTTACTTGTGACCTACCAGCTCACCCCAAGTCAGGACGAGCATAACTACCCTAAAACAAGGCCATCCATCTCCTAAAGTGGGGCACCTCGTCTCACGAACTGGTTCTTCAATTAATCAATCAATTGATACCACCAAGTGCCTGCCTCTGAGCTCAAAGCCAGTCATCGCAATATACGATCCTAGAATTAATTACCCAACTTCGGCCGAATATTTAAACGCACATCTCATAGAACTCCTCTCCAGCACACAGCACAGCCAATATGGCACAACCCGCCTCTTTAGGCAGACTCACAGGGTCTGGTGAGTTGCAATACTCGATTGCCATTTAGTGAAAATACACCTAACATTTTTGTAGCCAAACTAGATGCAGTGAAGCAACTTTTGAGCTCACTCACAGAGGATCTTAATACTGGCTTCCTACAACCTCAAAGTCAGTCCATCTTCCCAACGTTACTCTTGAGAATGCGTCTAACGGATTCGACATAGGAAGAGAATCGATTCTCGAAGAGCTGAAGATATATGGCCGGGATCCCAACGATGCAGATCCTATCTTCACGGAGGAAGGTATCAAGACTCTAGTCAGGCACGCTTTTGACAGCACATCGGTCAACACCTCCCGTGGTGCTCTCAGGATTCTTTGCAATGCCCTTCTTCTCCAAACAGAGACGCGGCAAAGATTCATTGACACCGGGTACGCGGTCAAGGCAAGCGAAAAGTTACAGAACGATAACTCCGACGACGAGTTTCTTGTGTCTAGGCTGCTCCTCATTTCGACATACAACACCAATATTGACCTCCCCAAACTCATTGCGCAACATGGTCTGGCGGATTCCATAGTCAATCACCTCGCGAGGCATGCCAAACGACTTTCTTCGTCTACAGTCAGAACGGCCACCGCAAATCCTATGGATCCGATGGCCCTAGAAGAAACCCTCAAACTTACCTTCAACGTCAGCCAATTTTGTCCTAACCACCTATCCTCTTTCGAGCCAGCAGTTCCCCACATCATCACTATCCTCTGCAGTCTTGATCTACCCTCCTCCCAGAACAAAAGTCCTCTTGGCCCCCCTTTCGGACCCGCAGTCAACGCCGTCCTGAACCTGGACATCTCAACCCCAACCGCAAAGAGACACCTCTACCCCGCCGCCTCACCATCCGGCTTTTCCGACCGCCTCATCAAACTCCTCTCCCTTTCTCTAAAAGCCTACAAGAACCCCGATCTCGAACAAATCGTCACCCCTTTGGTCTGCGTCCTCTCCCTAGTCTACGAGCATGCCCCAGCCTCCGTCAAGCACTCCATCCAGTCTGCTCTCCTGCCAACAGAAAAGGACCGTGAAGACGCCCTTGGCAAGGCTGACACCTTGCATGGCCATCTCTTGCAAAACTGGTCCAACCCCGAAGCCCCCGAGTTAGGCAAAGCGATTGCGCACTTGCACTTTGACCTGTCAGATAAGGACCCGCACAAGTTTGTCAAAAATGTTGGGTATGGCTATGCATCTGGGTTTCTGTTCCAGAACAACATTAATTTTACTCCGGAGGAGCTGAATCAGGCTGGAGAAAACGAGGTGGAAGGGGAGGATGGTGTGAGGGAGATCAGAAGGCCGGTCAACCCCATCACTGGGCAATTCCTGGACACGGAAAGGGTGTCTGAGTTGCCGGAGATGACGGATGAGGAAAAGGAGAGGGAGGCAGAGAGGCTGTTTGTTTTGTTTGAAAGGCTCAAGCAGACCGGCATCATCGACGTGCAGAATCCCGTGGCGCAGGCTATGCGGGAGGGACGGTTTGAGGAGCTCCCTGACGACAAATAGTATGGGTGCTTTTGGAGTAGCTTGGCTGTGAAAAAGGAAACGCGAGATTGTTCAAGTGGCAGGTATACCTAAGCTCGGTAAGGGTGGTTGTTGGCGATGACACTACAGCCAACAGCTGGTGCTGGTTTCAGATCTCCATGTTTTTTCGTTGACGAGCTAGAGCATTACCTAGGCAACTAGATAGCTGAAACTTGAGCTTCCAGGGTCCGGAGCCAGAGGCAATGTTACAGCAAAAAAAAAAAAAAAAACAGGGCGTATGGTCTAGTGGTACGACGTCTCAGTTACAAAAAATGTTCGTTGTCTTGAAACTGTTAGAATGATGTAACAGATGAAAGAGTTCGAATAATACAATGCTCCGTGAGAAGGTCCCGGGTTCAAACCCCAGCACGTCTAGTTCATTTTGGTATTGTCGATAAGAGCCCTGCCACCTGTGCTACTCTCGCACTCCGGTCCTTCGGCTGTGGTCAAGGAAGGAGCCCGATCTTGGCACTAGTAAAGTGGGCCCCGGCCCCGATGAGTGTGGGGCTCCCCTCGGGGAAACTGGTGATTTCATGACATTGCACTTTTCCGTCGGTCCAATTTGCCTTGCTTTCCACCAACAGCTCTTTTTAACAAGCTGAAGCTTGACAAGCAACTCCGACTTTTCTCTTTGCTTCGTACGCTCATTTCGGACCACATTTGATTCGTCGGTTTATTGTTCATCTATTTCGCACCAATCGCCAAAATGGACGCCGTACGCACCGCCCTCCAACCCATAACCCACAACCTCCCTGCCCCAATCCGCGATCTTGGGGTTTCCATAATTGGCGATAAATGTTACAAGGCCCTCCTTCTCGACATCGACGTCGAGAACACCGAATGCCTGAAATACGCCATTAGCAAGGGCCTCGGGATTGGCATCGTTGGCGCCTCCTCTATCGTCAAGGTCCCGCAGATTCTGAAGCTCCTCAACTCCAAGTCCGCCTCGGGAGTTTCTTTCCTCGCCTACCTGCTCGAGACCTCGTCGTATCTGATTAGCTTGGCGTATAATGTTCGAAATGGGTTCCCTTTCAGCACCTATGGCGAGACGGCAATGGTCTTGGCCCAGAACGTGATCATCACAGTTTTGGTTCTACACTACAGTGGAAAGGCCAGCATGGCGGCGCTCTTTGTTGCTGCGTTGGCCGCTAGTGCTGTCACACTATTCAGCGAGCAGGCCTTGGGTATGAAGGAGCTGGGCTGGCTACAGGTCGGAGCTGGTGGATTGGGCGTGGCAAGCAAGATCCCCCAGATCGCGGCCATTTGGAGCCAGGGAGGGACTGGGCAGCTTAGTGCCTACACTGTAAGTTTTCTCTTTATTTGGGACAATGTCGAGAGTTGTAGTCTTGCTAACGGTGATGGGTAACAGGTCTTCAACTACCTGCTGGGTTCGCTCACCCGCATTTTTACGACACTCCAAGAGGTGGACGACAAGGTTATCCTCTACGGTTTCGTGGCTGGCTTCACGCTCAACTTAGTGTTGGCGCTGCAAATGGTGTACTACTGGAATGCGCCCTCGGCTAAGGTCAAGGGCAAGCGAAAGGAGGCCCTTCCCGCCAACAGTCTCCTTAACCCCTCGTACGCGGAGGTGACAGCGAGCTCGACCGCGAGACCTCGCAGCAAGGGCCCTACTACTAGACGTCGCGGTTAGATGCCCGAGCCCCCCTATTGAGGTATGGGTCGAGCACGATGGTGCGGGAAATATCACCTAGTATTGTGACGCCAATCCGATGACGATCACAGGGCTTTGCCTCTAGGGAAGCATTTTTGGACTTTGTTCTTTTGGTATTATTTATCATGATTGGGATTACTCTCTTGGTAGGCATGCTTCCCGTCGGGCTTGGGCTTGGGTGGTCCTGGTGGGTATCGGGATCGTTCTTCTGGTCATCTTGATGATTTTCGGGCTGACACTTGCGATCGTCCTGATTTCAATGGCAATTTTTTTTTGCTTTCAGTGATGTTGATACCCATCGGGCTGCTTCTTTGGCCGTTGTCAGTTCCTATCGATTTTTCCCTGTCAGTGGTATCGATCCCAATAGCGGCTGTCTATTTGATTTACCGAATGTTCTCTTTTTCCTTTGTATTATAGGATTCTTTGACAGTGTTACAGGGAAAGCGGTCAAGTGATGGGCTCACATGAATGACATATTTTTACGAAACAACTCGGGCTATCGTCCAATCTTTCGACACGAGGTCCGGGAAACTGCAGCGAGGGAAACGGCTTGTCACGGACTTCCGAGTCTAAGCGTTGGACAAATGTTCCGGAGGGGCTCCGGGGCTCCGGTGAGCGGAGTATCATATGCAAGAGACGAAAGCAGATCACGACGATATCGAAGTGGTTGGGGCATGAAGTGCTTGCGGTCTAGACCTCATTCGGCCTCGGAATGGACCCCGATATTCCCCACAGACAGTTGCACAGGCACAAAAATGCAACTTGCAAAAATTTATCGACTTTAACTGGGTTACCCATCAAAGATAAGGTACATGGTCTTGGAAGGCCATGTTGCATCGGCAGACGCGGGAAGGGTCTGATAAGATGTTTTTGATAGAGATATCAATCCGTCAACCTGGGGAATGTAATGTGCGTAACGCTAGCACTTGAACAAAGTTTGCAATAGGGGCTTCTGGGGTGCATGATCAACGCCATGGTATTTGCCAGCAAATTTCGGCCTGTTCCATTTCTTTGTTGGCTACTTCCTGGTATGCCCACTCATGACCCTTCACCGCCGCTTTTTACGAGAAAGTTTCACGAGCCACCATGATAACTTCTTTCCCCCCTGGAAGGAGGAAAGATAGCGAGCGGTCTGGCTCTTGAAGGAACTGTGCCAGCAACGCCAAGGATAACACCACAGCGAGATCGCAGGTCCACTATCTCTTCCTCCGATGGTTTGCTGCATTGCAGCGGTCCTTCAAGCTCCTTTTTTGGGGAGGGGGGTTGCTACGCATGGACAACCTGACAGGAGGTGCTAACAGTGAAATAAATGTAGTGTGATGCCCTTCCTCTACTTTTCTCATCCCGTCTCTCGATGGCGCAATATCGGTAAGCTGTCCCACAATTGCGTCAACGAAGCGGTTGCGTGATCTTGCGAGCAATCCGATCCGCCTCTCGCACATTCACCATTCCTGAACGTTTATACCCCCCTTTCACGTTCTCCGTGGGGGTTTCTCTTTCGTTTTCCTTCTTTTACTACCTAGGCTAGTTTTGCTATTTTCCCCACGCAACAAGAGCGACGCCACCATCGACATCAAAGAAGTTGTTGCCTATTCGGTCCACTTACACGCTGTTGGAAGTTTCCTAACTTTGATATTGGGGGATTCTTGGCGAGACTTTGCCGACCTGCAGTCTCTTACGAAATTCCTCGTCTTCTTTAGAAACCACCGCCTCTCGTAGGGCTGAGTGGCCTTGGTTTACGTGGGAGGGCGATAGCAACCCCCGAAGCTTATTCACAAACCTTGACATCTTACTCGTTGGAGACATACACCATGTCACCAGATCTCAACTCGCTTCCCGGCGCTGACAGCGCCCCAACACCACCACCACCAATCAACAGCACCCGAGGAACGTCCAACGGCAATGGCCACCACTTCACCAACGGCCATGGACAAGTGAAACGCCCCAACATCCTCTACGTCATGGCCGACCAGCTCGCCGCCCCCTTGCTCAAGATGTACAATCCCAACTCCCAGATCCACACCCCCAACCTTGACGCGCTAGCAGCCAAATCCGTCCAGTTTGACTCGGCCTACTGCCCCTCCCCGTTGTGCGGCCCCTCGAGAATGAGCATGATCACGGGCCAACTTCCCATGAAAATAGGGGCGTTTGACAATGCCGCTCAGATCTCGAGTGATATCCCTACGTATGCTCACTACCTCCGCCTGAAGGGCTACCACACGGTTCTGGCGGGGAAGATGCACTTTGTCGGGGACCAGCTGCACGGGTACGAGACGAGGCTGACGAGTGACATCTACCCGGGGGATTTCGGGTGGGTGCCGAACTGGGAGGAGCCGGACACGAGGCTGGAGTGGTATCATAACGCGAGCTCGATCTTGCAGGCGGGGACGTGCGTGAGGAGCAATCAGCTGGACTATGACGAGGAGGTCATGTATAGGAGTAGGCAGTTTTTGTATGATTATGTGAGGGAGGATGAGGAGAAGAGGAGGCCTTTTGCTTTGACGGTGAGTTTTATTCTCCTGTTTTGGAAGGGGGGGTGGGCGTTGTATAAGTGACCCCCACACGACCTGGACGGGGTGGGTGGTTACGCCATGACATCTAGATCATGCACGAACGGGCGTGATTCCCCGCATATCCTACTCGCCTAGTGGCCGTTGGGTACCAAAAAGGGGGGGAATAATCTGGGGAAAATCACCGTTATATTAGCTGGCGTACTAACATTCGGGCAGGTCTCCCTAACGCACCCCCACGACCCCTACACCATTGAGCAGAAATACTGGGACCTCTACGACGGGGTCGATATTCAGTTGCCGCAGGTCACCATCCCGCAAGAAAACCAAGACCCCCACTCCAAACGTTTGCTTAAAGTGTGCGACCTCTGGGACAACCCCTTCAGCGATGAGCAAATCAAGCGCGCGCGCAGGGCTTACTACGGCGCCGTCTCCTATGTCGATGACTGCCTTGGTCAACTCCTCACTCTGTTAAAGCAGCTCGAGCTCGACGATGACACCATTGTTATCTTCTCCGGTGACCACGGGGATATGCTTGGGGAACGTGGGCTGTGGTATAAAATGTCTTATTTCGAGAGCTCGGTTCGTGTGCCATTGCTGGTGAGCCACCCTAGGCAGTTTGAGCCGAGGAGAGTCAAAGAGAATGTGAGCACGTTGGATATCCTACCTACGATGTGCGATCTGGCGGGGACCAAGCCATGGCCGCTGCTGCCGATGGATGGGCGGAGTTTACTCCCGCATCTGGAAGGGAGGAGTGAGGAGGGGCATGATGAGGTTTTTGCAGAGTATACCGGAGAAGGAACAGTGCGGCCGCTGATGATGATTAGACGGGGGAGGTGGAAGTATGTGACTTGCCCGGCGGATGGGTCGCAGTTGTATGATCTACAGGCGGATCCATTGGAGCTAAGGGATTTGGTGAAAGAGGGGGCGGTGAGGACGGGTGGGGAGATAAAGGAGGTTTTTGAGGGGTTTGAGAGAGAGGCGAGGAAGAAGTGGGATTTTGAGGGGATCACGAAGGAGGTGCTGCATAGCCAGAGGAAGAGGAGGTTGGTTTGGGGAGCGCTGACAAAGGGGAGGTTTGAGAGTTGGGATTATGACCCTGTTGATGATGGGAGAGAGAAGTAAGTTATGGTCTGTGTCATGTAGAGGAACTTGTGCTAATATGTTATGGTTAGGTATATTCGCTCGCACAT